ATGGAAGAAAACTTTAAGAGGGAGGAAGGGCAAGGAATGGCCATACTGCATGGCATGTGGCTTCTGACCATTCAGAAATTGAACAGCCCTGGCATAGAGGAAGAAATGTTGTCAGAATATTTGTAACTCTGCAATAAGATGTGTTTTCTACAGTCAGTGAACCACCACCTATCATCATTTCTTGAATCCAACCTGATTTGTCATTGAAAACACTCAGCTGTTGAGTCAACTCTTATTGAAAAGATGGAAAATGACTGTTCAGCAGAAGATACTTTACATGTCACTTTTGTATTTAATTTATACCAGCAACAAAAATGCAATTTTTTTTTCCCCCAAGTGAAGAGCCTTTAGAAAAATCATATATGTTACATACCCCTTGCTCGTCCAGTTTAAGCAGTTGTTCAGGGACTTTCGGTGAGTTGGAAGCCTGCCTCAGGCACTGAATACTCAGCTCTGGTATTACATATTCTAGTACCTCTTTAAGAGGCAGGCCCCGTGCTGTGCCATGTCTGGCAGTGGATGGTATGGCATCTTCTAAAATTGCTCCTCTTAAGGTAGTAAGCTGCAGCAGGAATGAAAGACTACAGTGAATATTTATCATTCTAATATTATGGTGACAACCAGAAATATAGCCATCAGGTTCTGGAGGGAGAGAATGCATGCCTATGCTTAGCTTACTATGGGAAGTGTAAAAGTTAGTGAAGTCACTTAAAAACTGAAGATGAAACAGACTGTTCCAGTTTTTAAACAAAAGCATTCAACACAGAGTAAAACAGAAGTACGCAGAAGTACAGAAAAATAGAAAATATATGTTCATAGCCAGTCCTCCATTTTTTAGTACTCAAGGGTATATATTGTTTCCATTTTTTTTCTAATGGTTCTGATCATTATGTCACAGTAAAATCTTAATGGAGACAAGGCCTTATATTTTTAGTGTGAGGCAGGCAAGGCCAACTAGGAGCAAAGGGTAATAGTTTTGATTCAAATAATTTAATTTTCATGGTAGAAACTAAGGTGCTTTGTCTCCACTAGGATTTTACAGCCATAAATCACATGTGTAAATTATCTAGTAGGGACAAGAAAAAAAAGCACTTCACATAAATGCCAATGAATGGGTGTGGGAAAGGCACACAACTATCTATATTCAATGGTAATGCAACTGCATAGATCAGGAGCTCTGGCCAACAAGGCTACACGTGTTTTAACCATGATGAAGAATACAGGTTTCAGGAATCAGGGAAAGTTTCCAGTTCCTTATCACAAAGGACAAAGGTAATGCCTTATGTTTTCTTTCAAGTCACCAGTGAAAGTAAGATTCACATAGCTAATGACTGTAACAAAGGAATGAAGACACCAACTTGGAGAAGACAGAAATTAGCATGAATATGAAAGTGTTGATCAGGTGTGATAGGTGTTCTTCTGACACAATAAAAAGGTCACTTTACTCCAAATAGGATTGATATTTCTCCTTTACAACAGAATTAATATTCATTTCTTCTATGAATACATAGAAGCAGAGGTTTGGCATTTGGAAAAGTTACTTCAGACAGAAACTATAGTATACCACTTTTGCAGAGAGACTTATCCGTCATTTTGAAGGCACACAGATGTAAATTATGTTCATCCCTACCTTTTCCCCCTAAGGGAGCATCCACACAAGAACGCGCATGCCTCTTGCAGCATCTCAAGCCCCTTTGAGACATTGCAAGATGCACATGGGGGAAACAAGAAAATGTTCTTCGTACTACATGTTTCCAGCGCAGGGGCAAAGTCTGACACCTGGTTATCCAGGTACCTAAAAAAAGGTGCCATGAAACAGCAGGGCAATGTATGGTTGAAGACCGTGCCCAGAGGCAACCCAGGAGTCAGTCCTCCAGGAGAGAGACTCTGGTTTCTTGCCAGAGCATCTCTGTGGTGCTCCTGCTACCCCTGGTGCTGTCAAGGATAAGTTAGAAGTGTGGGGGGGGTTCATGGGTGTGGGTGGGCATGAGTAGGTGTGAGGAGTGGCAGAGGGATGTCAGAGGCTACGACGAGTGGTGAGGGGATGTCCCATATGTGGGTGGCAGTCATGGAGGGGCTTGAGTGGAAGCCACCACACACCTGCCCCTGCGGCAGCATGCCTGAGGCTCTGCTACACGCACAGCTGGCAGTGACGCCCACCTCCCTCCCTTTCTCTCATTCTAATTGTGGAAGACAATGGATTTTGGTCCCACACTGAAGTGCATGTCCGGGCACAATTTGCCCCACACCAAAGTGCATGTATGGGCACGTGCACTAAGGCAGAAAGCCCCGGCTCAAATTTGCACTGCTTCTATTTGAGCTGCTGCATGTGCTCATGCCTGCATGTGTGGGCGCACCTCAAGTCTCTCTTCCTGCCACAAGAAACCTGTACTTAAGAATCCAAACTTAACATCCAATGCCTGCTACATACCCTATATGTGCTTCCCATCTGCTCCCTGAAAAAACTATGGTTTTATTGTGCTATTTTTGTTTTAAATGAGTTTGGCTTCTATTAGATTTCATAGATTTTATAGACCTTAGGGCTGGAAGGGACCTCGGAAGATCATCGAGTCCAGCCCCCAGCCCGAAGGGCAGGAAGTTAGCTGGGGTCATAAGATCCCAGCAAGATAAGCATCCAATTTACCCTTGAAGGTATTCAATGTAAGGTGTTTGAACCACCTCTGATGGCAGGCTGTTCCAGACCTTGGGAGCTTGGACAGTAAAGAAATTCTTCCTTACATCCAGCCTGAAATGGTCTTGCAGTAGTTTATAACCGTTTGACCTCATCACCCCTTGGGGCACTCTGGTGAACAAATGTTCCCCCATATCCTGGTGGTCACCCCTGATAAACTTATAGGTGGCCATCAGATCACCCCTGAGCCTGCACTTTTCCAGGCTAAAGAGCCCCATGGCTCTCAGCCTGTTGCTGTAAGGTCTGTTTTCCTGATTAATGTTGCATGCCTCCATCTCTTTAACTTGTACAGGGGAGAAAGAAAGGGCTGAGACACAAGTTAGAGTTGCCTGGCCTATACGACAGAAGACACATCCAGCCAGCAAGGGATTGAAGAACCTTGTTGACAATTGAAAAAAAAAAGCAGGACTGGACGTGACACCCAGGAAGCATTCAGGGAAGAGAGGGAGATAAGCATCACAACACAGCAGCAGTCTATAAAGTAGGGTGTCAACCTGGGAGTTGGAGAGTCTGAAGCAAAGAAACAGTTGGGCTATACTGAGATACTCCATCTGCAGACTGGAGAGAGAATAGCTAAGTATTATAACTTTGGGCTGCTCACAGCTGTGCAGGCTGAACAGCAGACAGAGAACTGCTCAACCCTTTGGAGGGGGCAGGATCTTCTTGATGGGTGACCTTTGCCTCAACAGTCATCTTTACTGAAGAAGCATTGTCCGTTTTGAAGCTTGGAACTTGGGGTGCACTCTTTCCACTCTGAGACCAATTAAGTACCCATCTCAGGAGCTGAACTGGAAGGCAGCTCTCTGGAGAATGACCACAGATATCCAGGGGTAGGCTGAAAGGCTGGGCTCGCAGAGTTGGAAGGAGTCGGGAATTACCCCTGCTCCAGAGGTCACACATGGGCTGGTTTCAGGAGTACTTAGAGAGACTGGACAAAGCCAGACGTCCCAAGCAAGTACTCCTTTGAAGGCAGTCAGTCACACTCCCTTCCTGGTTTATGTGAAAATATAACTCAAACCAATACACCTCTGCCTTCACCTCTTCCAACGACAAAAGAAAAAGACGTCCTAAAGCAGGAAAGCAAGGACATTTTTCTGTAGGCCTCAGCACTAATGTGTGTTAACAATATCAGAAGCCCCTCCCTTGCTAGTGGGTAAATCTAAAAGTTGAACACCTTTTAAAAAGTCAATTTCTAGAGGGCTATGAATGCAAAATAGTCAGGTTTTAAAGTTTCATTACACTTTTCCCTCTCCCCTCAGGACTCAAAAGACAGTACCTCGCTTGTCCTGAAAACTACACGATAGTTAAATTGAGAACCCTCTTTCTCCTTAGGATCTTCAACCTTCTCTCTCCGGATGCTGACTGCTACAGGTCCTAGATTTTCATCTATTCCAAAGTAGTTTTGATGCTCTGTAGCAGGAAAAAAAAAAATGAATGAATGAAAGAAATGAAGATCATGCTGAAACAGTAAATAGTTAACTAAAGACTTATTCACCCAGTCTCATAAAACAAAGTCCGCAGCAATAAACAGAGACAACCACTGTGGTATTACGTGCCACACAAAAGCTTTGCAATGTTTGATAACAGAAATCAAATTATCTAGTTGAGACTAGAGATGTGCAGGATCAAAATATGTGACAGTACAAATTCCCTACAGACAACCAAATCATACCCATGTTCTATGGGTAGCCAAACATTACAGGTCTCTCAATTACTGCACTATGCTGCCTTTAACATTTTGATAGAAAATCATTTTAAAAAATGTGGTAACATGGTTTGCCATTGAGTCACATTTTATGTTTGAAACAGCATAACAAAAATTAACATAGAGAATTCACTGCAGTAAGTGCAAACAAAACTGACATTATTCTACAGCAGCATTTGTAAAATAAGTCTCATTTTGCCAAGCTATAATTACTATAATAGTGTCAGATTATTATTATTATTATTATTATTATTATTATTATTATTATTATTAAAGGGAATGATGTAATAAATTAATCTAGATTATCAAACTAATGAATGACGTGCAAACTGAAAATTTTGTACTTTTTGGAAAAAATGTATTCTTATTTCCAGGCTAATTTACAAGAAACTAGGTTTTTTGTATGAAGACAAGCAAATAGAAAAGATTTAGTTGATCCTGCAATTATTCAACAGGAGTCAGATTTTATTCTCTGTCTCAGGCTTCCTCAACAACTCACCCTCAGTCACAATATTTCTGTCTTACGGTTTTCCCATCTTGTAAACACAGACAATACTCACCCCAACGGGATAGTCTGAGACCTTATCTATAAAATGTTCACAAAGCACATAAAAATCTTGAAACAAAGATGCTACTTCAGTACAGAACAGTCATTATCTGGAGGCCCAGTCTCAGATCATATTACGATGTTTATGATGCATTATAATGATTGCATTATGCCTACGTGACTTTTAAAACAAGAAAGTTGGTGGGATTCCTTTTGGTCTACAAACAACTACTTTTTGATCTCATATACGGAGTGCTTGCTAAGAATATTGTTACGATTCTGAAGAGTGATCTGAATTTGTTCCATTTTTGCAATATGATTTCAATGCGAGCCAATATACACATGATGATAACTTTTAATCAAAACTGGCTGAATATTACTTTTGCTCCACATTTATATTTCTCCTGCATTTATTATGATGAGATACTAATTTGGAAAAAGAATTAAGCCAAATTATTTAAATGACTTCAAACAAATGAGATATGCTTAAGTTCTATTTAAGTTAGTCTTATTCATCTTATCTATTAATATGTAGTGTAGTGACTCATTGTTGACAACACCATACAAACCCAAGTATAGGATTGGAAGGGGTCTCTTGGGACTCTGAATCTAGTCCCCTATGTCTGCAGGCAGTTGTTAACCCAAGGAAAACCCAAAATCACCACTTCAAATCCTTACCTACCATTATCAGGCACAACAGCCAAAACATCCAGAACACCCTGTAATATTTCCCTGGGCAGAGGGAACAAGGGCATTACCAAAGCCCTATTATTGCAAGGGGAAAACAGTTAGTTAACATATACTTAAAAAATCCTAGGAAAAAGATCATTCTCCATGCTACAGAGACAGGCAAAAACCCACAATGATCCACGCCAGTTTAACTAAGGAAAAATTCCTTCCTGACCTCAAAATTTGGCCATTGGTATGGCCCTGGCAAATAGAATTCCCTGTCCTACCATCCCATCTACAAACTGAAATGAATACATTGTTTAGTTTTGTTAAGAGTGGTTATAGCCAGTTCCTTGAATTTTCTTCAGATTTATATTACTGTGTAAAATTCACTTTATTTTCCAGAACTGAAACAATTACAGGTAGAAGCTGCATGACACAAATGTGCAGACAAGCTGATAGGACAGGATGGAAATGGAGTCAGAACATTTTACCTCCAGGGGATCAGTTTAAATACAGGTTAAGCTACGCCTGGTTTGTTCTCACCAGACCTGATGAAGAATGTCTTACATTTGAAAGTTTGTCTAACTACCCCAACTACAGAGTTGGTCCAATAAAATCCATCACCCAAAGAGAGGGGTAGGCAATTATTTCAGCTGGAAGACAGCTTAATGAGCTTTGGTGAGCCATCGAGGGCTGCAACAGTAGCTCCTCCCCTTGACAGGTATCCTGCACACAGGTTTCCATCTTGGGACTGGAAGGCCCACCCCCGTACCCATTACATTTGCCAGCAGAAGTCCCTCCCTTTGCCCCTTGGGGGGTGACCATCCTGGAATGGGAAAAAATCCAAATCATATACTAAAAGTCAAACATCTACTATAAATGTATTTTATTAAAAAAATTATTTTGTCCTGATTTCTGTGAATTTGCATAGGTGATTACATAACAGCTCAAAAATAAAGTCTTACTCTTGTATTGTAGCATCATAGAAAATTAGGGTTGGAAGAGACCTCAGGAGGTCATCTACTCAAAGCAAGACTAGCCCAAACTAGATCATCCCATCCAAAGCTTTGTTCATCCAGGTCTTAAAAACCTCCAAGGATGGAGCTTCTACCACCTCTCTGGGTAACCTGTTTCAGTGTTTTACTATCCTCCTAGTGAGAAAATTCTTCCCAATATCAAACCTAAACTTTCCTTTCCACAACTCCTTGTTCTGTCATCTACCACCACTGAGAACAGTGCAACTCCATCCTTTTTCAAACCCCCCTTCATATAGTTGAAGGCTGCTATTAAATCCCCTCTCAGTTTTCTCTTCTGTAGACTACATATGCCCAGTTCCTCAGTCTTTCCTCATAAATTAGGTCTCCCAGCCCCCAAACCATTTTTGTTGCCCTCTGCTGGACCCTCTCCAATTTGTCTGCATCCTTTCTGTAGTGGGGGGTCCAAACACAGTACTCTAGATGTGGCCTCTTTAATGCTGAATAAAGGGGAAATAATCACTTGCCTTGACCTGCTTGCAACACACCCACCAATGCAGCCCAGTATGCCATTAGCCTTCTTGGCAACAAGGACACACTGCTGGATCATAGTCTGGTCAAGGTCTTTAAAAAGATATTTTCCACCCACATTATCATATATAAGCTACAACTATCACAAAGCAGGAAATTAATTTTAGAGTCTAAAGTCTATTTTTAACTTCCAAAGTGAACTAATTTGCATAAGTGTTGCATACTCAGCAGCTCTCATAAAACAAAAATGGAGTTGATGGGCACTTATAAAAGTTAGTTAATTTTTTTTTTTAGAAGGTACTTAAACACAGATTTATGGAGCTAAATTTAGGCATTTCCTTTTGAAAAGCTTGGCCAGAAAGACACTTTTCAGGAAAGCAAACAAACAAACAAACAAACAACAAGCAAACAAAATACCTCATCCCAGAACCAATGTGAAGTTTCTAAAGACTATTGTTTTTGAGATGTGAAGAGAAAAGTTAGGTTGGAAAAAACACACAGAAATAAGATAGAATAAGTTACTTCTGTTAGAACAGAAGAAACACTGGGGAGAAGAGAAATCACAACAGGAGAGAGTGAGGAAAAGGTGCCAACTTTATGTTGGCTTCTGTCATTTGTCATGTTGTTAGAAATAAGCAGCCTATCATTTAAAAATTTCTGCATTAAGAAAAGATGCCAGCAAGTATTGATCAGCTTCCTCAATCTAATTCCAATGTAGCAAGCGTTTTCTCCAAGGTAGGAGACAAAGGGCCCTGGCAAACATTACACTTAAGTTATGATTAACCAGTTAACTGCATCTTAAACAGTAATCCAGACAAACATTCATTCAATTACTGGTGCGATAAAACAGGAAACAAACCACAAAATTATTCCACAAAGTGTGTGTAATAATTTTGTAGCTAGTTTCCGCTGCACCTTAAATTGAATGTGTGGCTGGATCCCCACCATGAAGACTGATGCCAGCTGCATGCTGGAGCTTAGCTGACAGCTCCTCACAGGTCAACAGGTTGACAGCCCTTTGGTGCAGGGCCTTCAGCCTGTTTTCAGGGTAAATCATGAGCTGAGCTAGGGGTACCAGGCTGCAGGAAACCATAGGGCTCCTTATGACCTGGCAGGTAGACTGCCTTGCCCTGAAGCTGCAGAGCAAAGTAACTCAACACATCCTGGCCACAAGGACCCTGGGATGGGGAGAGGTTACCTGACCCTGGGGTCCCTGTGCACCAGGACCTTAAAAAGACAAAACAAAACAAAAAGTGCAGGTCAGATTTTCTGATAGCTCAGTGCACAGGCCTCTCAGAGCCAGCTGGAGACTGGTATGGTCCAAGGGCCAAGGCCAACAATCAGCCTACTGTTGGTCCCAGCCCCAGGACTGCACCAGTTCACCAGGCACCCAGCTTTCAACTTACCAGTGCAGGGGATGTCTGGGATTATGCAATTATGGCACATTTGGGACCTGATCCCCAATCCCAAAAATTACACATCCTGCAGGCATGCAAGTGTGGCATGGCAGGAGGCATGATTGCTGGGATCAGGGAACAGATTCCATCATGTCATTAGAAAAAAAAGCATCAGGGGCCAGACAAACAAACCTAAAATTCAAATAAATACCTTAATTTTAGTTGAATCAAAAGGTAGTAGGGTAAGATGATTTCAAAGAAAAAGAAATCCCAGGAGTAAGGAATGTCTCCAAAAAATGAAACGGTGATGCTGCTTCTCTCTTACCTTTTGGGAAAGCAGTATCTAATGGAAGACACAACTAATCACAAAGTGTTTAAAATACAAAGCATTAAATACAAAGTTTTTCCCCCCCAACTGAAAAGAAGAGGCTAAACACCACCCCCTCCCCCCCTTCATGAATGACTGGTGCCTCCTGAATCTAGGGGGGCACCCACGGAAGCCGCAAATGGCGGCAGCCCTGTCAGGAGGGGGCACCAGTCCTACCAACAGAATCAGCGTTAGCCATCAGGGGGGCACCAGCCCC